ATATATATATATATATATATATATATATATATATATATATATATAAAGCTCGTTTAGAGATATGGGTTTTAAGTGATAATCAATGAAATAAATAGTCTTAAGGTTCTGAATAGCTATCCTGATGATAAGCATCTTGCAGTGTGGCATATTTGTTAATTGAAGGCATAAAAATTCTAAACATAAGATCACATTGTTAATGATCATATAATGATAAAAGGTGATCATACACCACTATTTCTTATATTCAATCTCAAAAACATCACAAGAGGGTCCAGTGGCAGGCCTATGCTGATCGGCCACAAAAAAGGGCCCTATATTGATTGTCCAGCTCTATCATGGTTGGCCACTCTATCATGGTTGTCCAGCTCCAAGGACTAGGGATGGCTACTCTATCATGGCTGTTCATCTCCGAAGGGCTGTCAATCACACCAAATCCCTTCTCAGGGAGAAGCATGTTAATAAGGGGATAACAACATATTAAATTAGTACTTTATTAAGTAGCAAGACTACTAGGTTAAGATTTTTGACAGGGTAGATTTGTGCATATTTGTAGCAATACTACTGGGTTAGGATTTTTGACAAGGTAGATCCATGCATATTATATTATTAATAAACCTCTTGGATTTAGTTTGAAACTTGAGATTTTATATTCAGCTTTAGTAGTGTCATCTTCTCTCTTTCTAAATTTCATCTCTCTTTGGAAATGATACTCTTCTCGAAGAATTGTTCTCATCTAGAGGAGACAATTTGTAACACATCAAGTGCTGACTTGGCCTAAATAGATGTATATCTAGGCTACTGCCTCAGAAACTAGTTTATGGGTTGAATATGGTCAATCATGGTGCTTCAGATTGGAATTAGTTTGTGACTAACTAAGGCCTGTCAGTCATTTTTGTGATTAGTCCAAAAAGTTAGGAAGAAAGCCATGAGTACAAGGGGATGATATAAGGGCCTTATATTTGGTACTGATGGAGTAAAGAGTCAGTATTCTGTAGGATCTATCAATCATTTTGTCATGGCTTGTTATATGAAACATAGCACATCTGACTATCTTTCCTTTTTCCTTCATAACATTTAGTTGGTTTTTTGTTCGTCTCATGTGTTTTTGCTTCACTTTCATCAGATTTAATGAGAACATGCTTGGAACAAATCAGTGGATGAGTTTTTGGCTTTTCTGAAAAATTGATATGTTTTTCAATTTAATTAAATGTTGTTGGATGAATAGTACTTCTTAGAATAAGATAAAAAATATTGGGATATTGCTGCTGATTTGTCGCCTCATCATTTCATTTGTAATACTATGCTTGCATTCATGATTTTGAGAGAGCTTAGTCTTTTTTGGTGATGATGCTAAGAGCTACTATGATATGAAAACACAAAATTGCCCTTTATCTAATACATTCACAAATACCATCAGATTTTTTCTGACATTTACAAACATTAATTTTTTTTAACATTAATAGCATTTTGTTCTTTTACGAAAATCATTTACAATCGTTTTGTCATGGCTTGTTATATGAAACATAGCACAAATGTAGATTTTCAATATTGAGGGTTGCAAGTCTGATGTACAACTAAAATTAGGGTGCCTTTTTTGTAGTTTCTTATATTGACGGTTGCATATATTTCCACATAAGCATTTCTTTTTTTCTAGCAATTCTGTTATTACTGCTATCAACAACTGCCCTTCTTTGAGTTTGTATAGTGATTTTCTCATTCTCAGTGACAGGTTAAAGAGTTCGAGCGGAATGGTGTTAATCTCGCTCCAAGCAAGAAAAAAGAATTGGAGAATTTGGGAGCACGAATAGAAGAACTAAGTTTGCAATACGCCCAAAATCTTAGTATGGATAACAGTTTTCTTCTTTTGGGCGAGTCAGAGCTAGCAGGAATGCCTCTTCAATTCATCAAGGTTAGTTTGAAGATATTTTTCATGAAAAGAATTTTCTATTAAATTCCAGTAATATAGCTTTTCTTTTCTAATATGTGGAAATTTTTCTTTCATAATTCTTGTTCTATATTGTATCTAGAAATTTACAGGCTTGTCTTACATTAGAAAATTTTAATTTGTCTTTTTAAGGTTTAAAAATTGAGCTGTTCTCAGAGGCATATGGCTCAAGTTAGATTTAGTTTTTATTATACTTTATAATTTGCAGATTGGTAGGTATGCGGATTGGCTGGGATGGTACAATTGGAATCTACAGGATTGATCAGATTAAATCTACGTGATCAGGATCAATCAAGATAATAATTTTATGCAATTCATAAATTAACAAAGTCTTAGGAAACTTATAATATAAAGCTCGAGAAAAATTATAGATTTTATGTGCTAAATTTTTTTACTTTCATATATTATATACTATATAGTTTTATGAAAGGATGAATGTCATCAAAAGGTAAAAAAAGTATAATAGATGACATATAAAATGAAGATTTATATATTAAAACCAATATGTTACATATTTTTTTAAAAATGATCATATCACATAT